AGTACACTGTCGTCAGGTTCCCCCATTATCTCTGGAAAGTTCTTGAGTTTGGTACCTCCCGATCTCTGGCGCAGATCGGGAGAGTACCCGGGTTCTCCACCGGGAGCAGAGCCCTTCTGACACTCTGGGTAATGCAGAAGGCTGCAGTGTTGGGGAGCCTTCATATTCTCCGGAAAGTTCTTGGTGGGTTCGACTAGGCAGTGTTTCCTGGGAGAAGTCCCATTCGCTGTCTGGGCTGCGTGTAGAGGGGCCAAACCCTCTCTGCTGCATTTTCATCTTTAATCTGTAAAACATAATCATATGGCTCAATTGTTTTTCAGTAAAAAGTGCAGTATGCTTTGTTTGGTTGGGTTTTTTTGTTCACCGTGGCACTCAGCAATATTCCAGCTATATGGCGTCGGTCCATAAATAATCGAGTCTGGACCAGACAATCCAGTGTTCAACATCATAAGCATCAATGTACACAATTGGAATACGATGTGATGTGTCAACCAAGTCAGCGATCCTGACGGCCCGATCTCGTTATAGTCGCTTCTTACGACAAACATGGGTTGCTGAAGACCAAATCTAACCTTGTCTTGTACAGACTCGATTATTCTTGTCTTGCACAGACAAGACAAACTGCTGCCATTTTGCTGGTATATTGTTGAATGAGGCGTTAAACAACACTTCTCATCGCACACAGAACACAATCCTCTGGGTTAGAGTGTGTTCCAAATATGGCCATGAACAGAATCTGATTGATTAACTGGGTCAGTGCGTAATTAGATATGCTAACAAACAAGCCCTGTGCCATTAGTGTTGATGTACCTGGATAACAACTGATAACCGACAAACGAACGAGGACATTTCCCAGAACAACTTCATGTGGACACATGGTATATCTACTACCATTAGAGGTGGCGGGCTAGTACAAGCGTTGGCTTGATCTGGCTCTTGATTCCCATGATGGGTGCATGTGAAACCTATTCTTGGTGTCCTCCGTTCCTTTAATTTTAATTTTAACTGCAGGGTCATAGAGAACTCATTTACATATTCCATGTGCTGTAGGTTATATTGACCTGAATATTACGTCCACATCCAGGCTGACAGAGCGGTGGAATTGGAAAACGGGACAACTGAAATTTCACGAATCTGCAGTAGGACGCGTCTGCGGACCTGTAGCAGGGCGCGTTCTCGACCTGTAGTAGGACGTTCACGGACCTGTAGTAGGGCGTGATCTCGACCTGTAGTAGGACGTGTTCACGGACCCAGTAGTATGCGTGTTCGGACCCGTAGTAGGACGTGTTCACGGACCTGTAGTAGGGCGTGATCTCGACCCAGTAGGACGTGTTCGCGGACCTGTTATGGAACCTTTAGCCGGATCGTGTTCGTAAAACCCAAGATAAGAAGTGTTCGTGGACCTGTAGTAGGAAGTGTCCGTGGGCCTGTGGCAGGACTCTTTACGTGGACTCCGCACAGACGAGGCGTTTGACCCCACCATCTGGGCCCCTAGCCTAGTGGTTAAAGCGTTCGCCTCGTCACGCCGAAGACCCGGGTTCGATTACCCACAAGGTTACAAATGTATGGAGCCATTTCTGGTGTCCCCCGCCTTTGATACAGCTGGAATATTGCTAAAAGCGACGTAAAACGATACTCACTCACTCTTTCTTACAAAGGAATATCTGGATATGCAAGCTTTATCTTGCTACTGTGTAACCTCATGACCTCGTATGGACCTTGATCGACAGCCGATAGCTGGTCATTGGGCACATGTGTGGTCATTGATCTACTAACGAACAGCTGGTCAGATCATCGCGGTGTTTGCGGCTTCTGTCAAGGACAACCGTAGAGGCCGTTTCAAATTTGTTCGACCTTCATCGCTGTGTACTGTTAACATCTGTACGGACCGACCTTTGAAACACGGTAGCGCTTCAATCTATAAGTCATTAGCCGCTGGTGCTCGATTCATATCAACACTATACAGTAAATCGGATACTCCTGAGGCTCTTCACAACAGGCAAAATGAGTTGGTTTAAAGCGTCATTTAGTTCAATGAACGTTCACAATGTAGTATACCAAAATGTCAACTAATGGCATTGTGTACACATTAACATTTAATTCTGCGATCGAAGAGGAAGAAAGGTTCTGGAACTGGGATGAACAGAAGGGTTTCCTGCAAAAATGCTGTCGGTATAGATCGACTTACATTATTGATGCAAATGTAGACGTGCACAAGGTAATAACTAATATTTTAGATGACAATTTTTAAAATAAATAAATAACAGACTGGCGTCCTTGTCCCCTTTTCTAGACTTGCCTCTTTAAAGTATAGAATTACTGTGCATCCATGGGCTAAGCATTCAGTACAGCCTTGGAGCAAGGCTAATAATATGCAAATTGGTCATGGTTACTTCGTGAAGTATTTTTATACATGTACATCGTAATCTCCATTTCTGAAACACATTTTAGTGTAGATGGTAACAACACTATTAAAGTGATGGTCAGTATTGAAGGTAAAGCATTATGTACACGAGTAAAGTTATGTACGTTGATGTAGGTAAAGCTTATATAAAGCATCGATTAGTCATAGAATTATCCCCCCTTGTTGTTCACAATACATATTTTTTATGTAAATGTTTTTGTGTCAATTTCCTGTTTATTTCACACTGGGTGGATGATCACACGCTTGAAGCGTCGGGGTGGTCTCACGTCCAACGTCAGCACCTGTCTTAATGATGAAGATGATGGCAATGACGAACATCGATTCCCCACATGGATACAATGTGTGAAGCACATTTCTCGTGACCCCCGCCTTGATATTGCTGCAGTATTGCTAAAAGCTCGCATACTCACTCACTCACTATTAGTGGTCGACCCGTGAAGGTCCGGGTTAGAATTAATCTTCAGAAACCAATACTTGTCGTAAGAGGCGACTACCGGGATCGGGTTGTCAGGCTCGCTGACTTGATGGACACATGTCATCATATCCCATTTGCGTAGATCGATGCTCATGCTGTTGATCAATGGATTGTCTGGTCCTGACTCGATTATTTAATTATTTACAGACCGCCGCCATACAGCTTGAATATTGTTTAGTGCGGCGTAAAACAAGAGCCAATTGTTGGCCTAATACACCATTAGTGTAATGTGATGATGCATAGCACTGGAATGGCTAAGAATGACCATTCAACTGCACTGAATATTAGTGAGCGTATGAGCGAGCTTAGTTTTACGCCGCTTTTAGCAATATTCCAGCAATATCACGGCGGGGGACACCAGACATGGGCTTCACACATTGTACCCATGTGGGGAATCGAACCCAGGTTTTCGGCGTAAAGGGGATTTATGAGGAGTGAAATCGGCAGAATATGAGGAAAACAGGAATGTGATTGAAGAATATTGGACGAATATAATCAAAGCATATGGGGGAAATGATAGGCGGAATATGTATTGTTTTGCGATCAGGGTGTGTGGCTAAGCCTCTTCGTATTCATGGAATATCAACTCGAAGTCTCAATTGTTTTCGTCAAGATATGGGTGAAATATTGCCGATGTGACATTAAATTTTAACTCACTCATTCACTCAATTGTTTAATCCAGAAGTCCACTGTTACAACACGGTTCCACCAACACATGTAGATGAAAGTCACTTCCGACTTTATGAAACACTCATGAGAAATAGATGTAACTGCGTTGAAACTCAAGCATAACCTAGCATAGTCCTAGATTAAAGTGATTTGAAGCGTTAGGTGAAACTTTCCTGGCGAATACAGACTTTAACCTGCCTTTTTCTGCAAAACAAACCTTCAGAATTATCACTTCTGACTGCGCCCTGCCCGGCTTTCTCTCAACCGCCAACTTCCGCTCATAACGTCTCCTCACGACTAAGTATTTATGTGTTTGTCCGTTTGAAAAGTAACAGGCTGTAGCATCAGGGGGAAATGTAACAGGCTGTAACATCAGGGTGAAATGTAACAGGCTGTAACATCAGGGTGAAATGTAACAGCTGTAACATCAGGGTGAAATGTAACAGCTGTAACATCAGTGTAAAATGCAACAGGCTGTAATATCAGTGTAAAATGCAACAGGGTAAAATGCAACAGGCTGTAACATCAGGGTGAAATGTAACAGCTGTAACATCAGGGTAAAATGCAACAGGGTAAAATGCAACAGGCTGTAACATCAGGGTGAAATGTAACAGCTGTAACATCAGGGTAAAATGCAACAGGCTGTAACATCAGGGGTGAAATGTAACAGGCTGAAACATCAGGGGAAATAGTAACAGGCTGTAACATCAGGGGAAAAGTAACAGACTGTAATATCAGTGTGAAAAGTAACAGACTGTAACATCAGGGTGAAAAGTAACAGCTGTAACATCAGGGTGAAATGTAACAGACTGTAACATCAGGGTGAAATGTAACAGGCTGTAACATCAGAGTGAAATGTAACAGACTGTAACTTCAGGGGGAAAGTAACAGACTGTAACATCAGGGGAAATGTAACAGGCTGCAACATCAGGGTAACATGCAACAGGCTGTAACATCAGGGGTAAAATGCAACAGGGTGAAATGCAACAGGCTGTAACATCAGGGTAACATGCAACAGGCTGTAACATCAGGGTAACATGCAACAGGCTGTAACATCCGGGTAAAATGCAACAGGGTGAAATGCAACAGGCTGTAACATCAGGGTGAAAAGTAACAGGCTGTAACATCAGTGTGAAATGCGCAACAGGCTGTAACATCAGTGGGAAAAGTAACAGACTGTAACATCAGTGTGAAAAGTAACAGGCTGTAACATCAGGGGAAGTAACAGACTGTAACATCGCTGGCACATGTAATAGCATATTCTACTCACAAGAAGTTAGGGACCACTCAACTGTTTGATGTTAAGGGACACGAGCCTTATGAAAGAATAAGGTGTCCTTAACCTTTTGAGTAGTATATTTGTGATCAGAGTAGTATAAAAGTAATCCGTTCAGCACAGACAATAGCATTCCTAAGAGAACAAAAGCATTCCAGAGCATAACAATAGCATTCCAGAGCATAACAATAGCATTCCAGAGCAGTAATCCTCAATCGATTGAGGATTAATCCTCCCTATGAGCACAATGCATTCCAGAGCACAATAGCATTCCTGAGCACACCTCCCTATGAGCACAATAGCATTCCTGAGCACAACAATAGACATTCCAGAGTATTCATACTCAAAGCATTCAATCTATTGACGTTGTAACGAATAAACATTCCAGAGGAGAGTCAAAGCATTCAATAGAATACAATAACATTCCAGAAGACATGAATAAGCATTCCACAGGGCATTAAAGCTTCTTAAGCATTCAATCTATTGATGTCACGGGTGAACAAACATTCCACGAGTAGAATAAAGCATTCCACAGAATACATTAAACATTCCATAGCTCTCTGAAAATCATTTCAACCCTGGCGAACGAACATTCCTCAGTTAGAATAAAATATTCCACTGATGTAGAGTATTAACCAACCAAACTGCATGTGTACCACTCTACATCCAATCAGTGCTTACATGCTCTACACAATCCCACCATATACCTTTTAGTATTAGACATTTCAAATCAGTTTCATCGTCATTATCGAGTGAACAAGTTTCAGAAACACACCTCTGCTTGCAATTCATATGGCACAGAAGATGTTTCACCTTCAACATGTGGACTTTTCAACAGACCAGCTGCTCTCGAGTACGTTTCAAGAAATGAAGGATATTCTTAACACTCAGCTTCATTTGCACGAAACGATGATGCGAACAAGTGAGTTGTATAAAACCACATACACAGAGATGTTCCAGAGAATGAAGACTCTAGAACAGAAATTCCCCTCGCTATCGCCAGCTCTCATGAGCTTGATGTTGGATTATTCAAAAATCTCTGCCACCACTCAGGATAGTAATTCAAGTAACAGAAAACGTCAGTCACCCAACAAGCGTGTTGCTAAAGCTAAGAAGCCAAGGAAAGTGAAGGAACAGAAAAGTGGCCAGAAGCAGAAGTCTCAAAAGAAGAAATCCACTCCTCCTATACAACCAAAGTAAGCAAATAGTTTATCATTTGGAATAGCTTTTCATTTACGTACATGTTACTGTGTTTGCAGTTCTACATTCTCCAATCTTATTTGTCATTTTCAGGAACCTGGGAGAAGATACTGAAGCAGTGTCAACTCCATCCCTCACAACCCGACCCATAACACCTACCACAGAACCTACTATAGACGACTGGTGGTTGGATTACACTCATCTCATGGAGGACATAGAACAGCAAGAGAAACAAACCACAGACATAACAGCTGTTGATTCATCCAGTGGAATCATGGAAGATCTCTATCAGGAAGAGAAACTTACTCCTCTTCAGAAAAGTTGCAGTGTATGTCGTCACAACAATAAGTTGCGTTACATCAGTTGTAATAGTGGACAAATTCAGTGTCATGTGTGTTGTATGGATCTCATGAACTGTATGTGCTACTATGATGAAGGCGGCATGATGAAAGACATGGTATCGCAGGACTTTGAAGGTCATATCCTATCAGTGTAAATACAGAAGTGCTTTCATCATGCTCTGTAACATGGCGGTTATCATTATGCATCGTAACAAACTTTAGTGAATGTTCAAATAAAATGAATAAACCCATGCTGTTTCATGTTATATATTGCTTAGTCAGTCACAGTTTCCACAGTGCAACATGAGTTCGGAAAAGAAGAGCAGCATGTTAAAGCAAGAAAAGCCATAGAAAAGTATTATTTCAATGCTGAAAATCCTGGAGCTTATTTTGGTCCAACAAAACTACGTGATGAATTGAAGAAAACAGACAACATCATATCAGGTTGAGGAATGTGAAACGATTTGTGAAGAATCAAGATGCCTATAGTTTACATAGACCAGTCAAGCATAGATTTAAAAGGTTAAAAGTAAGGGTGAATTTTATGAATGAAATGTTTGATGTGGATCTGGCCGACCTCTCTCGTTATAGCAAAGAGAATGATGGTATCAGATATTTGCTGGTGGCTATTGATATCTTGAGCAGATATGCTTTTGTGCTACCTTTAGAAAACAAGAAACCTGAATCGGTGTTGAAAGCCTTCAAAGAAATACTGAAAACTAGACAACCAAAGAAGGTTCGCACAGATGCTGGATCAGAATTTCGAGCAGGCTTTGAGTCATATTTGAAAAAGAAAAAACATCACTCACACCATTACACGGAATGAAAACATTAAAAGTAATTACGTAGAACGCTTCAACAGAACGCTAAAATCACTGATTACGCGTTACATGACTCACAACAATACCAAACATTACATCGATGTTTTACCTAAACTAGTGCACAACTACAATCATACATTGCATTCCTCCCTACCGAATTTATCACCTGCACAAGTGAGTAAGGACAATGAATTGAAAGTTTGGCAGCATCTGTATGTCAAACCTTTGTTGAAACATCTCAAAAGTCTGCACCCTAGGAAGAAATTCAGATATAAAGTAGGAGATCTTGTTCGCATTCCATATCTGAAGAGACCTTTCAACACAGAACTTGACTTGAAGTGGACACAAGAACTGTTCAAAATAGCTCATCGTTTTAAAAGACAGGAAATTCCACTGTACAAACTCAAAGATTTTCATGATGAAATGATCAAAGGTACTTTTATACTGGTGAATTGCAGAAGGTCAATAAAGGAGAGGATATTGAGTGGCAGGTGGAAAAGATCTTAAAGAAGAAACGTATGAATGGAAAGACTTATGCTTTGGTTCGATGGTTAGGTTGGCCCAAATCCTTTGATTCTTATGTGGAGGAAAGTCAATTGAAAAATTTGTAATGGAGAAATATGTGTTTCTGAAGTGTACAGACTCAAAGAAAGATTACTTCAAAGGGAACACCCCATACCATTTTCGTGTGAAACTGAATCAAAGATTGATGTTTGATGGCTTCTGGATAGTCAGCTTGACAGAATTAAACTTTGGAAAGGTAGATCTCACTCATATGAATGACCCTTATGTAGATGTGTTGTGTAACTTATGTGATAGTTCATTGGTAGGACACACTCAATTACCATTGTTGAGACGTTTAGACCTGAGGGAGGGGCCTAACTTTAAATTTGCTAATGAATACAATATCCATGTGATGGTGAAAGAATCTCCAGACATTGAAATTAGTATAAAAGCAAGTGATGGAACTCCACTATCATTCTTGAAAGAAGAGACTCACCTAACACTTCACTTCAGACGTTACCCTTTGCTGGTTAATATGGAGTCTTTACCTCTGTATGTGCCCGATTACAACAAATGGCAGAATTTTTCAAGAAACACATGACAGGTAGTTCTCAATTGGTGAATGGAAACCCGCGACCTAAGCTCATTACATCTCATCAACCTGAGGAAGCATCAAAAGAAGTTCAAGTCAAACTGCAGGTGACTTCTGAACCTCAAAGTGTGGTGGAAAGAGCAGATGCTAAAGAGAAGAGACAGAAATCATTAAAAGAGCTGCAGGTGAACAGGTGGTCACAACCAAGAGGATACGCCCAACAAGCAACATCCCCTCCAAGACAGCTCGTGTGCTCAAGTACACTCCAGTGAAAGAAAAGGATATCTTTAGTTAACACCATGTCGCTGCTCACCAGTAAAAATTTTCAAGAGATTGTTCCCGAGTCTTTAAATTTATTCACACTACCCCCATTTCAGACATGTATTCAACAACATTACTATGAAAATGTACGTCCAGTGAGTCAAATCAACGACGAGGCGCCTTTGGAATTCAGTATTTCTAACACAGGTAGTGACTACCTTGATTTGAAGAGGACAAGATTGCACGTGAAACTCAAGGTCACTCACAATGATGGGAGCACCTTGCTTCCCAAAGAACATGCCGCCCCAGTCAACCTGTTTCTTCAGTCGCTTTTTAGTCAACTATCCGTTTATTTGAATGACACGCTGGTCTCTTCCACAAACAATCATTATGCTTACAAGAGCATGATGAAAGCCTTACTGAATTTTGGAGCTGATGCAAAGACTACACAGTTAACCTCTCAGTTGTTCTACAAAGATGTAGGAGAATCGAACAGTGATATAGAATCAACAGATACAGAAACGGGAAGCAACACAGGCTTGATGAGACGAGGACAGTTCATTGCATTGAGTCAAGAGATGACTATGTCTGGAAACTTATTTGAAGATGTGTTTGAGATGGATAGATACATGATTAATGGTGTACCTATGACTATGAAATTGTACAGATCCTCTCCTACCTTCTGTCTCATGAGTGGTGTTGCCAACAAAAAAAATTCACTATAACACTATTGGATGCTTATCTCAAAGTCTGCAGACTGAATGTCAACCCAGCCCTGATTATAGCTCACAATACCTTGTTTGAGAACAACTCTAATGCTCTCTATCCTTTCATCAAATCTGAGGTGAAGGTCACTAGCATTCCTGTCTCTCAGTTAACACATACCATTGACAATGTCTCCAATCCCATTGCTAATCGTTATATCATAGGCTTTGTAGATAGTAGCAGCTTTAATGGGAAATATGATGGGAATCCTTTCAATTTTCAATCGAGCATGATTAAAACGATCAACCTGTATGTGAATGGTGTCAGTGTCCCAGGAAGAGCTACAAGTGTAGACGATGTAGACACCTATCTCAACCTGTTTGATAGCAAGAAACTTTGGTGTCAAAACCAGGGAAATGGTATTTCAAGAAACGACTTTTTGCTTGGCAGCGCTCTTTTGTTTACCAACTGGATGAAGTAGATACTGATTACCTCAATCTTGTGAAATCAGGAAATGTGAGACTTGAAATTGAATTCAAATCTGCTTTGACTAAGACATTGAGTTGTGTTATCATGAGTGAAAGAAATTCCATCATAGAAATTGATAAAGCGCGGAATGTGTACATCAAGTAAACATGAAAGCTTCTGAATTGAAGTGTACCATTCAGTGTGATCCTGTCTTACAGAGTCATGTCCTGGGAGTGTATGCTAAAGATACTTTGCCTGTACTCACATCTTCTATGATAAGAAGAGGGGTTGGACTTATTGTAAATACAGACTGTAGTCAAAAGAAAGGACGTCACTGGGTTGCTATGTATTTCAAAGGAAAGAGAGCAGAATTGTTTGACAGCCTATCAGAACCCATTGATGCTGTATTTGATAGTTACCTAAAATCCTATGTTCAATCATACTTGCACAACAGTAAACGGATACAATCTTTAGATTCAAATGTGTGTGGGTTCTATTGTTTGTATTATCTGTTATGTACATTGAAACCTCACTGGAGTTTTCATCGTATTGTTCATCAGTTTGACATAAGGAACTTCCTATGGAATGATACTTTTGTATCTCAGTATATATGCAACTATTTCAAATACTGTACCCCTTCTTGTTTTTAATTGACAATGATGTACAATGTTTTACCATGTGTATAAAAAATAAAAAATAAAAATAGATTTAGTTCAAAATGATGTTTTGTTATGTATAAATACCCTCCATGCTTGTGAGTAAGTTCAGTTTCATACTGAACAGCAGACCAAGATACATCATGGATGAAAGTGCTTGTCTGTTACCTTTTAAAACGCCTACAACCATATCCGTGATAGGCGGATCATCAAGTGGTAAAACCTTTTGGGTTTCACGTCTGTTAAGACAAGCCAATATCATGTTTGATCCTGCACCCAAATTGATTATTTACTGCTATGCTGTGTGGCAAGATGTCTATAGTGAGCTCAAGACAATCATTCCCAATATTCGTTTTCAAGATGTCCTCCCCACAGAACAGGAGTTAAATTCATATTCTCTAGAATCAGATAAACATTGTCTGCTGGTAGTAGATGACTTCATGCAACAAGTGTGCAAAAGTCAGCTGTTTTTACACCTATATACCACATTATCCCACCATCTAGGAATTTCTGTTATCAACATCCTACAATCAGCGTATCCAAAGGGAGAATGTAACAGAACTATGTCACTGAACACACATTATTTTGTGTTATTGTCTAACCCTCGTTCGGCACATGAGTATAAAATTTTAGCATCGCAAATATTTCCAGGACAGGCTAAATATTTCACCGAATCTTTTCAAGATGCTGTAAGTAGAAAGAAATACGGTTATCTGGTCATGGATACCTCACCCTATGCGGATGAACAGTATGGACGTTTGCGTACAGGTATATTCTCTGATGAGGTGTGCACAGTGTATCTGTCACGGATATAGAGACACGAGCGTTTTGACATAACTAAGGTAATATACAACCACGTCTCATCCTTTTCACTTTCATATTGAACAGAGCCATGGATGTGTGTGGACCATTTGATAACCTCGTGGCAGACTGTATTGAAATACCATGCAATAATATTACGTTTGGGCAAAAGTTTAGTGACAGACTGAAGTCTTTCAACAGTTGGCCTGTACAAATGAAGCAACCCCCAAAGCTCATGGCAGAAGCAGGATTTATCTATACGGGTCAATCTGACAAAGTCTACTGTTTCCAATGCGCACTGAGAGTACATTCATGGATAGCCGAAGATGATCCATTAGCAGAGCATTTTAGACTATCTCCACATTGTGCTTATATCCACATGGTGTCTGAACCCAAAACCAACAAGGAAGGTTAGAACACATACAACTTTGAATATATTAATCACCATAGTTTTTCAAACCTGACAACCATCTATATAACAGTCAGTTCACTTCACTTCACTTCACTCACTCTACAGTCAGCTGTCTTTGAACGTGGAACAGCTACCCTACAACATCAACATGAGTGGTCTGCTGCAAAAGCATTGGGCTTTTCTTATGATGTTAGAACAAGCTAATTCTGCACAGAGAAAAGCTATGCTGACGCATGCTTCATCTGAACAGTTTAAGTCAGTGATTACACTAGTGTATAATATCCTTGTTGGAAAGATACCACTAACAGAAGGTGATAAAAAACCGTCTGTCTCGTCATAAGTCTGTCATTCGAATCTTGGCCAGTAAGAGTGTGAGCAGACACAGGAAACGTGAGCACATCGCTGCCTGCCATTCAATTTTACCTATTTGCATAAGGAACTACCAAGCCTACTTGTCCTCAGTACAAAATGAGCAAGCCCATGATTCTTCTGACGAGAGAGAATTATCAGAGATTGATGTCCAAACAAGAAGAAGAACAGACAGCTCATCAGGCAGCTCATCAGGCAGCTCATCAGACAGCTCAGCCACAGAAAGTGAATGAGATAGTTGATGGTGATTCACAAGGGATAGCTAACTCGGAACAACCCGCTGATAATCCTGTATGCAACAAGAAGACTGAACTCCTGTTTCAAGTTCCCGACCAGTTAATCAAGGACATTACTTCTACCAAAACCATTGGGAAATTGATGTCAATGTGGTTATTTGTGAAAAACAACATTAAAAAAGGACAATTACGTGTAGATGAGCATTTACAACTTGTAGGAAACAAAAATAATGTGCTGCAAAACTCAAACATTGTCAACTTGATTCGTTTTTTTATCCTGTCACCGCGAAGTAGGCGTTCACCAGTGGGCTATAAACAGTTTCTTAAACTATTAAAGCGTTTACATTTGCCCAAACATTTCATGAAACGTATTGGAAGAAAAAAGAAAGACAAAACACAGATACATAGAAATGTTTTATTTGTTAAACGTAAAGCAGCCAAAGGTGTTCCTGGGTTCAGGTCATCAGGAACACTAGAATCGTTTTATTGAAACCACACACTCTATGTATAGTTTGTGACAATAAACAATGTGAGCACAATTGTGATTGTTACGTTTGTTCTCCTTGTGGTCTTGAAGTAGTCACACATAGTGTTCACTTTGTAGTCTTGAAGCAGTCACACATAGTGTTCACTTTGTAGTCTTGAAGTAGCCTCTCATAGTGTTCATGTTTTGCTCTTGCAGTGAAACATAGGATACATTCAGCCAGAGCAAGTTTGACTTCTGGTAGTCATTATGATGAATCTTCCGACAAGTGCAGGCATGAGCTGTGTTCAGTTTTGCCTTCCTGACCACACATTTGCCAGTAGGGTTCAGGAACCTATGATACGTATATTTTAATTTGGTACCACAGTAGACGCAGGTAAAGAGACCCGATCGGTCTTCACCATTTGCGTCAACAGGTAGAAAGCCATCGCAGCTTGTACACATGTAGGCTGGTTTGCTCATCCTGTAAAATAAATAGAAAATAAATAAATCAAACACGTCTAGTATTATAAAATACAAACATAATGACATGACTATACATTCTAAATTTCAATACGATTCTAAATTTCAATTAAAAAAAAAATAAAAATTCATAATAATCATATAGCTTACCTGTTTGGACTTGTAAAATTCCATATTTCGTGCAGATGTTGTAACTATTCAGTTGATGAATAACCATAAGGTACACTATGAATGCCATCCTCTAGCACATAACGCTTGTTGTCTATAGAGGTCAAAGCCACTTTGTTTTGAAGATTTTCTTGCAGATGTTGTAACTATTCAGTTGATGAATAACCATAAGGTACACTATGAATGCCATCCTCTAGTACATAACGCTTGTTGTCTATGGAGGTCAGAGCCACTTTGTTTTGTTTCTGTGTGTACAAGACGTTATTGAAAGAGCGAATGAGATGAAAAGAACATGACACAGCTGTTTTGTCAAAAAGACACTCTTTAAACATCTTATGTCTGAGAAATTTCTTGATCACTGTTTTTTTAATACCTTTGGCTGTCTTTTTCTCAATAAGTTCCTTATCCGTTTTCATCAAGAAGGAATACATTTTACTTTTTAGTCCACAGAATTCAAGTATGATGTTTCCACCTGCTTCATCCTTCATCTTGCCTGTCACCTTCCTGTTTTGATCGGAATAGAGATCCTTTGGGTCATTGGGAGCATAATTGGAAGTGTCAAATAAATGGAGATTCTGTTTCATAAACACATAGAGGTCCAGGAGGGGTTTATGTGGAGGAGCATGGACTTGCATAAAGAGACTGTCAGTGTCCGTCATGAGCAAATCTAAATGTTCATGTCCATATTCCTTTTGCATCACATTGTAGTAAAAGTCATAAATTTCATATTTGGCCAAATCCAAAATGCTAAAACCGACAGCAATGGGCTGATCTAAATGAACACTTGTCTTTTCCATTTCAACGGCGACCACGTCTTCTGAATAAATTTTAACCTGTTTGAAATTGGTTTTGGAGGTCAGTTTTTGAAGTTTGGGTCTGTGTGTTACCAAGCGCACTGTTTTGTGTTTGCGTTTATTCATACAGAAACGACCAAACACACAGTTGTTCATCAATTTGTAACGGTCTTTGTCACAATCATCCTTTGCATTTTTGCGGTTCCTCAAGTTCAGTTCCACATAGGATTTTAACCATGGACCCTGGCTAAACTTCAGCACTCTGTGTATGCGATTCAACACTAAACCATGTTTCAAATACAACTGCAAAGTTTTAAAATGTACCACATAATGTGAACGATCTTTCAAGGTACAAAAAAGTTTTCTACCAGATGATTTCTTTGGAAGTTTATCTATGGGACGATTGTTAAAATGAGCCAGAAGCTGTTTGTGTGTAGGAGATAACTCCTCAAATGGGATATCATCATGCGTTGGAGCCATAGGGAAAGCAGCATGAGCTTGGTGCAAATGACTGGGGTACAACAAATCCACTTCTAAGATGTACCCATACTCTCCCCCTACCTCGATGCTTGTCCAGTCTATGGTGTTGAACTCTGCAGGTTCAATGAAATGATAATTTCCTATAGGTAGCGGCTGTAACATGACAGTAGCATACAATGAGTTCACATCAAAGTAGAGTAGAGTGGACGTGTCTTTCTCTGGATCAAAATCATCCATATGTTCATTGTTGCTTTCTGCATACTTTTTACCAATGACAGACACACCACCGCGAATAGAATGTTCAATGAAGTTGTAAGTGTCTACATCTGTAAACAGATCCAATTTAGCGCCAGTGATTTTCATAGCAGCATCCAAACAGAAACCAGGCATGGAATAGTAGTGACAAATGTCAAGTCCATAGTCAGCTAAACAACCAGTTCTAAAGGTTTCAATAACATCGGTTAACAGCAACACATCTACGGTCACATACAATCTCATGAAGTCGCTCATGGATTGACATTGAAATGTATGCCATAATTGATGGGCAAATGCATAGTCATCCTCACTAACACCCTGCTCAGTCAATGAACTGTAGAATGCTTCCTTTGAAGGCAAACATGTCTCATTTAACGTTTCCCAGGAATCCATATGTTCATAGGGAAATGGAAGTTTTCGCGTTAACAGATCTACATGCTGAGGAAATTGTTCTTTCAAATATACAAAAGAATCCGCACCTTTTTTCAACAGATTTTGTGTCAGTGCATCCAAAGAACTTTGTAAAAATTTGTATGAATCCAAAAAGACTAATGTATGGTCCACCGTGAAGGACAGAAATTGCTCAGTGGTATGAGGTATCACTGTGATCTCACGATCACCAAACTGTTGTGCCACTTCTAACAAAAGATGAGCATCATAATGTTCTAGATTGTGAAACATCACAATCACCTTTTTTCTTAGTTGAAAGTTAAGATTACATTTGTTATGCAAGACTTGACGGAACTTCCCCGACAAGTGGTCATGATCCAATACTCTATCTGTTCCTAAGAGCTTTCCACACAATCCACAATGTTCTGTAGTAGCTATGTCAATTTTATCTTGCACAGTGAGTTGCATGGGTTTGATGGAATCAAACAGGTTCATGATAGCATCATATTCTTCCAAAATGCTGTTGATGAAATGTTCTGCTGCATTTTCACCTATATAGATTTGAATGGGTTTGGAATACTGTTCATTGGTACACACCACCTTGTAGGCATAGCCGCATGGGACATGACGGTTTAAACGTGAAGAATCATCATCTTCAGTCACTAACAAGCTTTCAAAATCGGCTACAATCAAAAACTTGGCTCTTTCAGTTTTGCTTTGTGATCTTAAACCGAATTCATACACTGCTTCCTCTGGTTTAGGTAAAATGACTCTTTGCGCTTTCTTAAAACAATAGTGTTTGTGAGCTTCCAACCTTTCCTGAGATGAGTAAGACCACAAGCATTTTCTACAAACAAAACACATGTTTGTGTTACCTTTTCTGTTTCTCACTAATCTGTTCAAGTTGGTAATGAGACAATAATGTGTGTTGGGTACCTTGTCTATGTCCATGGCTTCCTCGTGATCCTCTAACCCCAAGACTCCCTCAAAATCATCTGGTTGACTTTCTTGTGACAATAACAATAAATCTACACACCTATTTTCCTCCACGTTCGACTCATTACTGATGTACATAGGGTACAAGGTACCATCTTCAAAACCGTACACATTGATGCTCAACTGGTTAAGCTGTTCAAAACGAGGAATGTGTTTCAATGTCATAGGAAAAGAAAACCCTTCTAAATTAAGCCTATTCAAATAGGGGAGGTAATGTGTTTCTCTTTCCTTGTTTGACGAGGGTGGGTACAATTTGGCAAGAATGGAGAGAACAAAACATAAATCATTGTCTTTGTTTTGAATATTTAAAATACAGCGTGCATGTTTAGCCAGGGCTGGAGGAAGTGGAATGTAAGTACCACCGTTCAATGGAGCGAACTTCACCACAGTCAGTTTCAAAAGGACAATGTCAGAAACATTTAAACCTGAATGAACTCCTTCATAGTCATCTAGTGTTTGGAGCATGAGGTTGATGGCTTCCAAATATTGTTCAATCAAATCACTACCTTCCATGGCTATCTGCATGCTGCTCCTAAAGTAGGCCTCGTGATAATTTGAATGAGTATCTTCGCTTGGTTTCTCCATTTTAATGTGCAAACATAAAGCCCATTTAATTGTCTTTTTCTCACCTATTTCTGACTCAAGGGTTGAAATGACATTACTCTGTTCTCGGACTAGAAATTCTAATGCGTCAGTAGATGTTTGTCCTTCAAAATCATACTCTCTCACATCACCATGTAAAGCCTGACTAGAACATGGCTTTGAATGATCTTTGGGTTGGCTAGGATGGCGGGACGAAGCAGGAGGAGCATTGGAAACAGGAGGTGAATCAGGGGGTGCTACAGGCACTGTTGCTGGCTTAGACTTTTTCTTAGCCCTGCCTTTACCATGTCCTATCATATCATGACCTGATTGACTTTTGTGCATACGCAAAGCCTTTGAGGTGGGGAAGGATTGATCACAGGTTGGACAGGTATGAGCAGGAGATCTCTTTGGTACGCAGTGATGGATTTGATAATCAGGATCATTTTGAAAACAATGTGAACATTGATAGTGATAGGTCACTTTTTGACGACAGGATTTGGCATGCCTATTCAAATTATCTTTTCGGTTGAAAGTCTTCTGACACAATGGGCAAGAGTATAAAGTGTCTACTCTACCACAATGTCTTTGGTGACGTAGTAAATTATGTTTAAGACCAAAGGTTTGCTGACAATGATCACAAACAAACACCGAGGAGGTGTTCAAATCACTCATGGTACACTACTATCGTCTAAACAACGATGTGTACAACCATTGGTTATTCATCAATGACTAAGTTACACCCCTTGACGATCTGTAGAGAGAGGAAAAAATTAATAAAAGTCTCATAGCTCAGCATAATGCACATTTATATTGAGCACAATGTTTGTCTTGCTCTACCTATAAACGATCAAGGTAATGCCGAATGTTATAGAATTATCATTGCAACTAACTGAAGATAGCACATACAACACAAGCTTATACTTAAACACTACACAGACAATCTATTCAATAAAGTCAATAAAAAATGCTTACCTTTCTGTTGTTTGCAAGAACTGATGAATCCTTGGTGTGACAGAAGACAAGGCTAGGCTTTTCCAGAATGCGTATGCTTGCCTGATGTCCTGTGAGTGAATGATAGGAAAGCCCACTCTTTTATAGATGAAATAGTTTTGCAATATCATGGTTCTTTTGACTAAGTACTAACAATGTCTGTAAGGGATAATGAGTTCTGTAAAGTGCCATGTCATTGCAGTATCGTGAGAAACTCCTCCGAGTCGGATTTTATTTGTCTACATTTTACATAAGATTCTAAAAAGATGGAGAGAGTCAACACATTCCATGAATCGCAACGTGGCAGCATTGAACTGAAAAAGATGGAGTGAGTCAGCACATTCCATGGATCGTAACGTGACAGCATTGAATCGGAAAGAAATGATCAATTGGTCAGATGACTACGTCGCATGAATAGGTGCCAGGATGTCTTTTGGCACATGGGTGTGTCAGGAATGAAGGTGGTGGTGAACACCACCTGTTGATTTATTCCAATGGAAATATTGTACCAATCTAAAACTGTAATGTGAATGTGAAACCTGTCCTGAAAAGTGATGTGAAAATTGTGTTTAAAAGAATGTTCAGTGAAACTGGAAAGACTAACACTGGAATTAGTTTTATATAATAAAGAAAGCATCACTGATATGAAAACGGCAGAGTGTGTATGCAAACCCGTTTTTGTTCGAATTTTAGGTAAGTTTTATTCATTTATTTGTTTTACTTTGAGTAATATGTCTTACATGCGAGGGCAAAATGTACCATCACACTTAAAGGTGTTGAACTTTGCTATGATGCGATGTTATTTATGCATTACAATTCCATTTCATAGACCATGAACCGAAAATATTCGCTCGAACGCAACTGCTAATGCATTATGAGGCCAAACCGAACGCGTTACTTCTCCTGTTTCTGCGTTTTGGCGTTCAATTTCGAGAGCGTACGGGAACATTGATTCTCTGCGTATATGCTTCAGCGAGCATGACAAGTTTTCAAAGCAACGTCTCGTTCATTCATTCATTCATTTATTTGAATACACATTCCAAACTCCATGAATGAGCACGTTTCATAGAGTTAACCCTTTATCTCCTATCATAGATCTGAATAGTGACAGAAGATTACAAACATATACAAAAGGATTCATTTATAAGCTAACAAACTTGTAGGCATGTTTTTTTGTCACTAGTGAGAGCTGTGAAACACACGTGTATATAGAACGCTTACGATACTAACCGGATCGAGCTGTTCAAGGGTTAATGTATAACTTGTTTGTTCACCATATATCGTTTTCAACGGTTTCAATTGATTCAGGATGCATCTGTGAAATGCTATCATTAAATAGTTTGCATACTTTGCGTTAAAGAGCACTTTGTGGAATGCCAAGGTTAAATAGTTTGCCTAGTTTTAAGGACGTTAAAAGGTGCACTTGTGGAATGCTATTGTATTCGTTGGAGGAACTTGTGGAATGATATCGTTAAATAGTTTGACTCATTCCTCTGGAATGTTTGTTATATAAGGATGAATCCTCATTCGATTGAGGATTTTTTGAGGATTACTTCTCTGGAATGTCTATTGTATTCGTCTGGAATGCTATTGTATTCGTCAGGAATGCTTTTGTTCTCTTAGGAATGCTATTGTCTGTGCTGAACGGATTACTTTTATACTACTGAAATATGTGTACAGGGAACTAGGATTGTCAAATGCCTGTATATTAAAGAGTAATTATCAAAAGCCGCAATGTGTTAAAAATAAAACCCTTTCCAAAGAACGAATCGGTGGTGTGTGCCCGTATGTCATTCAATATATACCAAAACAAAAGACAATCCAGTGATCAACAGCATGAGCATCGATCTGCGCAATCGGGAACCGATGACATGTGTCAACCACGTCAGCGAGCCTGACCACCCGATCCCGTTAGTCGCCTCTTACGACAAGCATGGATTACTGAAGGTTCATTCTTACCCGGACCTTCACGGGTCAGCCATGGTGTGAAAGGATGTATACTACTCAAAAGATGTTAAGAACATTGTAATTTTTCCTATGACCTAATCTGCCAGGTTAAGGTGCATTAATTGTAGTCATATGAAAATATACACAGTATTCCTTATTCCTTAACTTCGTTTGAGCAGTATACACATTGTCTTTATCTATATTCCATATTAGATTTGAATACAAACAGTACTGCAAAGACAGGTGTAAGACAGAGAGCCGTTGTGGCAAAATATAGCTTCCTCACAAACTCCTGGCAATCTAAATGAAAGGTAATGAGGCTGGATATGTTCACATATAACACCGTACTGATGCCTTACTTTACATTGTATGGAGCTTAACGATGTACTTATAACTGACGTATTATTGTTCCTTTATCTTAATTTTTACGAGTAGCTTAACTAACATCGTGCTTAGAACTTACTTAACATTGTATGTACAGCTTAGTTAAAGTTCTATTTCAAGCTAACTTAAAACTGTAATTTACATAACATTGTATTTATGCCTTATTCGGCAATATTCTTAAGTTAACGTAACATTGTCCGATACGTTGTCTAACATTGTTCGTACAGCTAATTACCCTAGCTTATTCGGGTTAGAGATTGCCCCCCAGCTGTCTATACGCAGGTCGAGATAGGCTCATGATATCAATCACTGGCTTTGGCGGACCAGTCTCCGTTTTTTATAGGTTCTTACATTACGTACTTACATTATACTTACATAACCTACATACTATAGCACAACCATTTCAGAAGTACGGATTAAGTGAGTTTAGTTTTACGCCGCTTTTAGCAATATTCCAGCAATATCACGGCAGGGGACACCAGAAATCGGCTTCACACATTGTACCCATATGGGGAAGCGAACTTGGGTCTTCGGCGCGACGAGCAAACGTTTTAACCACCAGGCCAACCCACCGCCCTGTATGGATTAAGATGTATCAGTAAGGATATGTGGATTAAAACTCGTCCATGGAAAAGTTATGGTTTTCAGTATATTAGTATGGTTATGTGATGATTTCTTTATTGATTTGACTATATCCTGTAGTAAATGTAGTTTTGTATATGTCGTGTAATAAATTCATTGGCTCAATTTTCTAAATACTGTCTTCAATCGAAGTATAAATAATTGAAAGGCAGCTGTGGATAATGCTTGCTCAATGACTTGCATTCCACATTTAAACTGCAGACTCAATACTAGACTTACGCTTAGTCTCTGAATATATATAATTTTGATTGTAACAAATAAAGCCATTTAAATTGAAAAGGAGACCAGAGATTCAAAGCCTGGAGAAATGTAGACTTGCTTCATTTAGGGCTTTAGCATTGCAGGGATGACTGGGCTTTAGGAAAATAACATGGGTCAGGGACTGTGAGACAGACTAACTCAACACGGAACACTCTAGATCGGGCCGAAGCAGGGTCAAGGTTACCGCTGTGAGATAACGTAGTACCTGAGACGCAGTAGTGTAATCGCGCGATCTCCTAGTACATTCTAGAACAATACCAGTTGACTTTTACGTGGCCTGTCGACAAGATATCGGATCACGAAGTGAAAATGGCCATATTGTGATCTTAAATTCTGTGATAGTGAATCTTATCTCCTACTTGGTTGAATTATAAGCCTTTATTTGAATAAGTTTGTACCGATCAGAAAGAACTTCCGTGTCTCGTCTGTAGATTAAATCTATCAATGAGGCCAGTGTTGCAATGTGGGCGGCTCATCCCGTATAGAACCCGCCGCTCACGATCACGCTAATCCACTTGAGGCATTATGATTGCCACAGAATGAAACAGGAAATCTTAGAATTTGTGTTGATAATTTGAATAGATGTTTGAAAATCAATAATGTGATTAATTGTGAGAGGTATGTAGAGGTCCAGCAAACAGGAAATGAAAAGGTGGATATAACAATATAACATTTGCTAAATACTCCTGCTTGAATAATACGTTTACGTGTGATTCATGCATACCGTGACAACTGGTCATGAGCAGATGACAGTGACTCTCAAAGCCACTGCGTGACCGAGGGAATAAAGTGTGACAGCGAAGTCAGCAACGTTCTGGCTATTTCCACTGTGTAATCATCCCTTACTGTACCATGCTGGTTAACTGTGGGTTAATGCCGCACTCAGCTATGTTCCAGCTATAAGGGGACGGTTTGTAAGCACATCTGGACCGGAATGTCCAGTGCATGAGCATCCTCTTCACAACAGAGAGACCGCCTCCGTGGTGTAGTGGTTAGAGCGTCCGCCCGGAGAGCGGAAGGTCGCGGGTTCGATCCCCTACCGCGTCATACCAAAAGACGTTAAAATATGGTACTTGTTGGTCCCTGCCTGGCGCTCGGCATTAATGGGTACAATAAGGACTGGTCGGCTCGGAGTCAGTATAATGTGTCTGAGTGGGGTATTCATGCTTCACTGCGGCATGGTATCTCAGTGGGCTAGCACTATAAAACCAACTTAAGTCTGGGCTAGTACAAGCAGCCGCACATACACATACACACGCATGCACGTCGTCATATGAGCGAAATATTCTCAAGTACGACGTAAAACCCAATTTCACCTCACCTCACAACAGAAATGCGATGACATACATCAACCAAGTCAGTGAGCCTTCAACTCGATCCCGTTAGACCCGTTAGCTTGATTCTTATTGACTTCTTCATGCCAATGTCGCATTGTTAATAATGAGGGCTAGCTACAGCCAGTGATGTCCTGTGATTTTGTTTGTTTTGTTTGTTTTTTGTTTAACGCCGCACTAAACAATATTCCAGCTGTATGGCGACGGTTCGTAAATATTCAAGTCTGGACCAGATATTCCACTGATCAACAGCATGA